TGTGCTTAAGTTGTTAGTGATGTCTTTCCAGCTGGATTTTAGGTCATGGGGGTTTGGGTAATTGTTTGTTTCATGGTATGATATGTAGTGAATGGGAAAAATTAGAGAACAGAGGTGCATCTGAATGATAGGAGCCGCCATGGATCTGAATGTGTCTTGTTATGTTCAGGTGGGTCTCTTGCCATTACTTATACATGGTTGGTGATGATCTAACATTTGCAAGAAATTGAATGGGAGTACACTATACCAACTACAGTGGAATGTTGCTATAGCATACTAGCACATAGTTTAAAACCTTAGTTTGATTTTTGGTTAACTTAATTCTTTCAATGGATGTATTGTTCAAGCATTGCTAGCAATATTTTCAATCAACCTTATTTTTATAAACTTTCCTTTCATATTATTTGTTAAGCTAAGATGACTTTATTGTTATGGTCACATATTTAAGTCACAAAAACTTCAAACTCATAGCGTGAAAGTATATTTTTTTATTTTTCTAATGTTAAAAGCACCAAAATGGTGGATGCCTAACTAACAAATTTTGCCATGTGAGAAAGCAAGGGGCAGTCCCATTCTTTCAGCCATATAATAATGTGTTAAATTAGTTTGCTCCCTTTTATGTGAAAGGTCTGTCCCTTGATCAAAGTTATTGCACTTAAAAAAATGTAATTCATTTCATTTGTCTACAACAATGCATAATTTCCTTTTGGTAAAGCATAACTTCGCAAGTGTTAGTTTCAATATTGATGGATTGCTTTAATTCTTTTTGTAGACTTAAGCAGTTTTGTATCTACATATGTGTTGGAATGCATGTGCAAAAGAATTCAAAGCGCGTGTTTGTTCTATTCCCTCTTATTTAATTTACCAACATATTTCACTATTGCACCTTGAATTTTAAGATAGAATAACAATAATGAGGATTACATTATAAACTAGCTACTCGTGTTTCACTCATTCCCCTTGAAGTTAGGGTAAATCACAAGAGTTCTCGATGAATTCTTCTTTAATATTTTCTTATAAAAGAATAGAAAATACATATTTTTTTGGTTTATTGATCAGTCATATTATTTTTTCCCTTCGTGTTGTACTATGAAATGAAAAAAGTTCCAAACTCAAAAGCAATGACATTCGGCCCTCTATATTCATTTTTCTAGCGAAGCTATGAGCAATGTGCTGGTGCCACTTTTTTATAAGTTGATATCAAAATCACATATACAATAGAATTATAATATATAACTCATGTTATTGGAACTTTTTAATATTTTTCAAAACTTATCTTTATTCATTGACTCTGGCAGGAGTTAAGGATATGTTGAACTACTACCGAGTCTTTTTGTCATTACTGCTATTGATGCAACACCGTCATTTGGGAATATATTTTGTTCTTCCCATTCTTTGTTTGCTTCTTTGTGGGTTGCGGCAGGTTAGTGTTTGGTAGGATTTTTTATAGTTAATACTTGGGATATGACTTTGATCATAATTAAGTTTGTATCCCAACATAGGTAATCGACAAATTTAACTGCTCAAATTTATGTAGGTTCTCTGAATTTTAATTTTATACTTTTAGCTTATATAAACTAATAACGCTAACTTTACTATAATGAGTTCTTGAAGTCCATACGAATATAGTGCCATTACAGGCATGGAACAATGAAGATATGGTTGCTAGGTATCACTTTGATCACCTTAATCATGAGAGGGTCAATGCAACCCATGAAAGCAATATGGTACTTTTATTGTTTATTTTTCAGTTGTTATTGACGAGAAATTTTAATTTTGTTATCATGTTTTCGACGACGTTATTATGTTTTGCATACCTCTATTTTATAATTTGTTCCTACACACATTTCTATGTATAATGCAATATAGCAAATGATTATGTCATTCTTTATGGGAACTTTGTACCATATAATTCCTTTTCGCATAATTCTATTAAATTCAATCAATCCTAAGCCCATGTTGAAATCATGATTCTATAGAAGCCAACTTAATCCTTTAACAATGAATTTTGGTTTTTTTTTCTTAGCACTTATTGACAAATTATGCCGTAAGAATTTGACTGGTCAAATTTCAAGTATATCCTTCTCTTTATGCTATTTCTTTCAAGTTCTGCAAGCATATCATTCTCTCTAATTTATTCTATATATTTTTTACTTAACAAATTCTCAAGGTTATTTAAAGTTCTGGTAAAACCATCATTCCATCTCCACCAAACACTTGAATATAGTCGTCTCCTTTCGAAATGGGGTCTCTCGTGATGTGCAAGTCAACTAAGGCTTCAGTGGTCCCTAAATGGGAAAACTTAATTAATAATGGTTTCAACTAAGAGCTAACTGTTTGTGGTAAAATAATTGCATTGGTGTATGTTTGTGAGTAATATGTGTAAAATATTGAAAGATATTAATATCAGAAAAATAAATTTTTCGCAACGAAATGAGAGTTTTCAGCAATAGGAATTTTCCCTATTTGTTGTATGGAAGTATTTTTCAGATCCAAAAGGAAGCACAAATTTTCAATGTTCATCATGTCGAAACTGGTTGGCTGACTAAGGCTAATCACATAACCCATTGTTATTTTTCTCTGCATCTATCCACGTTAGTTTTCTTGAGGAATTTAAAATTAGATTTCTTATATGTTTTAAAACTTAGTTTCACTTTGATTTTTTGTTTTTATACGACAAATTTAGACCATATTTCAATTATTTTTGTTCTTTATTGTGATAATTTGGTTTGAAGTCAAGTGGGCATTATGCTCTGTTTTATTATGATAATTTTTTAAACAATATTTCATCAATACTTTTCATGTTTGATTTTTCTCTTTATTTTTGTGTTATTGCATTTGCTTTTTTAAAAATTATGTTATCTTTTACTGTTTTTGCTGGGAGTTGGAGAGACTCTTTAATACAATTAGAAAGTTTTTTTTTTTTTGGTAGGAAGACTTCAAATTAAATAGGCTATGATATTCAATTTATCAATTATTTTCCAAATGTACAGTTGTTCTTTTGTATTCACTTCCAAAGTCTCATGTTCCTAAATAATAAATAGTAGAAAAACATTGTTGAACAAATAAACATTGTAAAACATATCACCAAAAAAAATTAATATAATAACTCAAAATTATTCACGTGCAATGCACGTGTGCACCAACTATATATATATCACAGTGAAACATCACTAACCTCACGTCATCTCTAAAATAAAATAATTTAACTTTTTTCTTTACTCTTTTAATATTTCATCTTTCTTTTGACCCATCATAAACATCTCAGAGTCAAGTATCAACATTTAACTTCAACACCAAATTAACTCATTATAGCAAGTTAACTTTGGTATCACTTTATTTATTTATTTATTTTTGCAACGAAATTTTAATACTTTAACTTACCACTTAATGTGCTTCTAACAACTTCCAAAACTATATTTTGACCCCTAATTTTATTTAAATTCAATGCAATGCGTGATAGGGTCTCACAACGAGACGCCGGGAGTAAACATTTTAAGTATCTAGAGTTTATTATTCGTATAAAGTGTGAGATTAGTGACGATGTTAGTCATATAATTAATGCATGATTGACTAAATAGAGGGATAAATCCGGTGTATTGTGTGATAGATGCATGCCCATTAAACAAAGTGGCAAGTTCTATGCAACGACTATAAGACCCACCATTCTTTATAGTACTGAGTGTTGGAGTAAATAAAAAACAACACGTTAAAACATTAAGTGTGTTGGGGCCCGGGGGGGGGGATGAGAATTTTAAGATACATATGTGGTAAAACTAAGAAAAACATAATTAAGATTGATTATATCCGTGAAAAAATATAGATAGCACCTAAAGAAGATAAATTAAGGGAGAATCGACTTAAGTGATTTGAATATATCCATAGATGGCCTACTGCACTGATGAGAAAGAGTAATTTGACAGTTATTGACGTTAAGTGTAAGAGAATAGGAAGGCCTACATTAACCTCAAATGAAATAATAAAGAATGATATGATTACATATAACTTAACAAAATGCATAACCCTTGATAGAACACAATGTTGGTGAGAAATGATTCATCTAGCTGACCCAAAAAATTTGGACAAGGCTAAGTTGCGTACTTACAAATTACAATTATCTTCTGATACAATCTATTTAATCAGATCTGCTCATATACATTTTTATTTCTAATATTCTTTAATGGTAGTTCATCCTTCATTTATGACTAACCCTCTTCACCTGCTCATGTCTCCGCCTACCCCCGCCCATTTCCTTTATCACGACCCTCATTTTGAACACTGATCATGGGTCACATTGAAGTGTTATACACACAAAGTTTTAAATCTATTACAATAATGGTTGACAACTAATCTACAACCCCAACTTAAAGCCAGATAAGTTGCCATTGCCATGGATAGGAATATGTAATAGCTAATGGTTTAGCCTAGAATATAGCTCTTGAAGGAGCACAAAAACAAAATAATAATAATAATAATAATAATAATAATAATATAGTTGATCATAAATAGTTAAAACAAGATTTTGTTAAGTTGAGTTTAACTAATGGTTTGGCCCTCTTATTTTTCCATAATAGATTGTTGTGGAAAAAGAATTAGTATGTGTGACCATTGCACACACATTGTATTTGGTGTTTGCACTTCATGTATAGATTACTGTTATTGTCAAATACATGCATATATACACGTTTCGTGTACATAATATGAATCTCATTTAGCCTTGAAGCAAGATTAATGTCAACCGGTTGTTTCCGATTATTTTGATATGAATTTTCGCTGAATTTAGCATGCCTTCTCTGAAGGGCACAGTTATCAACCTTCTGTGGTCTATAACATGAACAACATACGTTCAAGTACATAACCCATGCCGTTGCTTTGCCATTTTGCCCAGTGATACTGCTGTGCTTTACAAGGTAGTTTTTGGTGGGAAAGTCACAGTGGCCATCAAACGCCCAGAAGCACAACATAGTAAATAGTAAATTAGTATATATAACATATTACAAGCCAACAGTCAAGTACTAACAATTGCCACAACACGAATTACAAATTATACATTTTTAATAGTCCACAAGGATTGTACAAGCGCTGAAAAGGAATATATTCTCCAAAAGAAAAATGTAATATCATTCCCTCATGATACATAGTTGGTAAACATAATTGTATAAAGTTTCACCATACCTTGTCAACTTAGTGGAGGATACGATCACCTTGCTTACCAAAAATGCCAGAGCCATAGGTGGAATTGAACATATCTAACAGGAGGGGAAATTGCAAGGACGCAAACAAGGACACAGGTAGACATGCCAATGTAGCCACAGGAATCAGAATCCACGCTTCTTCATGTCCAAAAAGAAAATAAAGTGTCGCTCCAAAGGCTACCATCATAAATATTGTGGCGAGGAATAGGGTCACTAGACCAATAATTAATCTCTTGGGTAGTACATAGAGAAAATCATCTTCTGCATAGCGCGATGTGAGGATAGACAAAAACATTAACATTGAAGAAATTGATGAGAAAAGGGCAAGTGAATCTGATATGGCAAAAACTTTAAAGGCTTTTTCTTTCAAGAGAATGGGAAGGCCACTTCCATCACTGTTTCCACCAGGTACCGTAATGGCAGCTGCAAACACTATAGTAACAATTAATGCTGCTACAATGGTGCATGAAGTGGACGCGTCTTTCATCCATTTTTCTCCTTCTTTAACCAACTCCTCGTGTGTCTCCGTAAATAACTCCGATGGTGTCTTTCCCTCAACATTTAGCCATTCTTTGTCTTGAGGTGGTGAAAGTTTTTCTACTTCCTACATCAGAAAACATAACTTGGAAATTAGAAAACAAGTCAGATATGCATGTAGTAATTCTTGACGAATATCCACTGCAAAAAGCCAACATTTGTGTATTGGGCTTAATGTTTAATTAGAAAATTAGCATTAATTAATAATTATTTCTATTGTGTAATGAAAAATATGGTAGATTTTGACGGGACGTGGTCAAGAGGACTTATGAAAAATACACATGTGGAAGAAGGACATGCGGGGGCCTATTTCAATGGTCGGAAACTATTTAATATTCGTTTCCAAGCATTGATGATCCGTGACAATTGGACCCACTAACATGATCAGATTCGACTTAAAAAACACGAGACAGGGGATGTTCCAAAGACTGTTCGTTGCATGTGGTTCAGATACAAAACTCATGCACGGAATTAGACATCTAAAAAGATGTCATCCTCGAGTAATGTGACCAATCATATTACACATTACTCAATAGCTTTCGAGCCGAGCGTTTACAACCCACCAGCGAATCATAGCCGAGCCGTTACTGTCCATAAATCCTCGATCCCGAGGACGTTCGGAAAGGACAAACGGTAAAGCTCGGGCCGGTTGAACAGTTAAATCTAATTTAATTTAAATATATAATTTTTAACTCTAATTTTAATCCTAATACTACCTTGGGTTGATAAATTTAACTCAAACACTGCCCGAGTTTAATTCGGATGGATTCGAGTTGAATTCAAATTAATGATTTCGGACTACTTTATGGTCTGGTTTCGAGTTAATGTTCTAAACCTGATATATACATTACATAATATTCAAATAATTTAACAACTAACAACTTTAAATATAACACAAATATATTACATAATTTAACAACCAAGTTACCAATTTAACAGGACACAAACATAACATTCAAATATATTACATAATATTTTGAAGTTCTCTTATAATAATAATTACCTTATTATAAATTATAAAATTATATTTATATAATAGTAATTTGGGTTCAACCTGTGAACCCAAGGGATCAACTCGAGACCCGCCCAAATTAAATTCAAGTTGAGATTTTTTGACCCAAGCTCAATCAAAGTATTAAAAATTCTTGTTTAAGTCCTAATTTTCTCAAGTTGGACTCGGGTTGAAATTGAATTACCCAACCTAAGTTGCACCCCTAACTAGGGGCTCCTATCAGGAGACATCACATTAATGCTCCATCCCGAGCATTTATGAATAGTAACGACTTGTCTACGTTTCCCAGTGCGTTGTAAACACGCGGCGCAAAAGCTATTGACCTTTATGTTCCGTTTGGTATGATGAAAAGTTGGGAGGATGAAAAGTTGAAATGATAAATAAAACATCATATTTGGTGAGGAATGATGGAAAAGTGGATGAATTAAATTTCCTTCTAACTTACCAAAATCAATCTCTCCAAAATCGGAAGGAAAGTAAATGAAAAATTAATTATTTGTATTGAGATGTATCTTATTTGTCTATATATTATGTATACATTAATTTCACACAAAAATACAATGATAAAATATATATTTATATATATTTAAAAAAAAATAAAAAAAAAAAAAAAAATAAAAATAAAAATTTTAAATTAAAAAAATATTTTTTTTCATCTTAATTAGGGGTGAAAATTTTCAACTCAACACGATGACACGACTCGAACTTGATTATAATTCGATACGAACTTAAAAATGACCTGACACGTGAACAAAAAATATAAAATGCTCATAATTTTATGACTCAACACGAATCTGACACAATTTTATGACTTAACACGAATCTGACACGACACGACTCGATTGCTACCCCTAATATTAGACAAAATAAAATTAAAAAAAAAATTAGTCATTTTTATTTTTTATTCATCCAACCAAACATAAAGGGAAAAAAATATATCATTTCTATTTTTCATCTTTAAAAAATAAAAAGTGTATCCCTTCTATTTTTTATCCTTTCTATTTACAATTCTTTCTATTAAATGAATTATTAGTCAATTGGGGCTAGCCACCTAATGATCTCCTGTACGACCGAGTCAGAGTTGTTCCCCTTTGACACATCATCAAGACACCTGGTTTTTATGGTGACCTCGTTTTCAACGCAAGTCAACATTCTTGGGTCTTGCTCATTTTGAGATTTCCATTCTCTCCCACTTCACAAATTGACTTTGGCGTCGGAAGGGAAACGAGGGATATACATCCTGCTCTCTTCTAGCATTCTCTGTGGTTTTAGGCGAGTCCTATTGCAGCCTATCCAGAGACTCTCCGTTGGTCTCACCCCTGATATCGTTAAATCTTTATTTTTCCAGAAATCACTTACGCAGATTTCATTTTTATAAATTATACCCGAGCTTAAGTTGATAGACAACTAGTGTGTAACTAGTGCCGGCCCAACATATAGGCCACTCAGAGTAACTAGCAAACCCTAGATCAAAAAAGAGGGGGCCACACATTACATAGATAGATATCGGTGATTACTTCAAGAAAGAGAAGAAATATGTTAACATAAGTGTGTAAGTTTAGCTGATCACTAATGTTATTGTAACATAATTTATGACCATAATTTAGGGACATAATGAGTTGTCACCAATGAAATGATAGTGAAATATATTTAATGATGGGTCTTATTGTAGCCTTAAATGAATTCACCATTATTTCATTGGTAACAACTTATTATGTCCTCAAATTATGCCCATAAATTATGTTCCAACAACATTACTCTTAGCTGATATAGTCTATGAACTAGGAGTGCATACAGTGTGCTTGCAAAATGCATGTAGGCGCATATCTATAAAGACCATGTGTAAATGTAACGTGCATGAAAACTCAATAAGAGGAAGTTCTTTGAAGAATTACTTCTCTACAGATCTTATCTTAAGTACGTAGATAAATTCATAGCACATCTTTATTTTATAGAACTCTATTTGTAACGAATGTCCCATCATCAGTTGAAATTCTTTTCAGTTCCTTTGGCCATGTTATGAGACTGTTCTAAGTGATTTCTATTGTGATTATCTCTTCGAAATACGAATTTATGACTCAGTGAATTGCTTAAAAAATTACTTGCTCGTGATAAGTTATTTAAAGTATTATCTAACTTGGTAGGTTTGATTGATATATGAGTTAGTTACATTTTGCATTTTCAATTATGAGTTTTGTGTCAATTTATTCTCTCAATTATTGAATTTCTAACATTATCCCTTCAACTTCCTAAATTTGTTTCACACTACCGAAAACACAAACATCCAATATCTTTTTAGACCAAATTTGAATGTCTCGGGTAAGGTGAAATAAAATCAAATAGTTCAGGGGAAAAATAAAAATAAATTTTCATCAAATGTTTAACAAACGTTAATTGATGATGCACAAAATTGTCTTCGTGCAAGATCAACAGTCAAGTATGTGTTAATGAGCAATTAATGAGTGACAAACAAGCCATCAATGACAATTAAGAGTAAAACAATAAATAATAGATCAACACAAGGATTTATAGTGGTTCGGTCCGAATAACCTACGTCCACTCTCGGGAATGGCACTGGCGGCCTGTGTTCTTTATTGATGTTGATGAATGGTAATAGTCCGGAGAGATATAGTGCTTTTGGGGAGACAAAGAGAAAACAAATGAGTGTAAGGTTCGGAGGCCTTAGAGGCGGTGATGTGAGGGAGAAGAATTCCATTACTTTGGCAAGTATTGTTATGGTAGGAGATCTTCTATATCTATCTCCATATTATCTTCCCTCGTGCTCCTATTCATCCGGAGGAGAACATTAGTTGGACCTGGACCTAGACTTGTCTTGAGTAGGCTTGACTTGGACCTGGACCTGAACTTGTCTTGGACCTGAACCTGGAGTACTAAGGTGAGGAGGAGCAAAGAGGAGGCACCCAAGGGGCTGCCAAGGGCGGCGCCCAAGGGGCCAGCTTAGGAGGTGCCCAAGGCTGCCATGGGCGACGCCCAAGGGCTCCCTTGTCCTCCTCCTCCTTCGGCCGTTGACTTTTGGTTCTGTCCTCTTAGTGTCTTCGATGGGTCGACAATGAGCATTTCTTTGGGCTTTCTCGATTTATCTAAATTGGGCTTGCCCAGTAAAATCCAGGCTCATAATTAATCATTGAAGCTGTGTGAAACTAATAACTGTAGATGAAGGTGTAATGTGAAAAATTTAATAGTTGAAGAGACAGAGTGACACAAACGACCTAGTGATTTGAGTCATTGTCTTTCATAGCAAACCTGGGGGAAGACTTACTAAGGACCCTAAACCATTATTGTTTAGTTTCTAATGTGACATTAATAGAAGATTATTTTAGAATTTGTAGATTATTCTAAAGGTCACAATTTTTGACATGAAACATAAGCATGACTCGAAACCGAAACAAATTTAGCAAGTTAGGGTTGATCATTTTTTGACACGAAATCATAAATAATATGACCTGTTAACAAGACTAATAAATAAGTCAAATTGGTGTAAAATATGAATAACACGTAATTAACACAATTAATACCTTTAACTAAATGCTAGTTTTGTATTATTTTTTTTTTATCAAGATAGACATGTTCCTTGTACAAAAAAGATGTTTTTACTTATTTTATAGTTTATTTCTTAAGTTAAGTTTTAGTTTATAGAAGCATGAGTTGATTAAGAGATAATGAAATCTGATACTTAAATTTTAGTGTTATATTTTGGATTCATGAGTTATATGAATCAACATGAAAATAAATAGATTGAGTCGATACAATACTATTAGTTAAATGTGTTGGGTTAATGTTGATTGGCGCTTAACGCGAACCTATGAATAACACAAAAACACGATCAACACAACACGATTGCTCTCTTCCTACTATTGTAATTGATAATTGGTCCAAATATTTGAACACATTCAAGCCTAATAGCTAAGGTTTGTATGTGCGTGGCCTAAATCAAGCCCATATAAAAAACATAGGTATTTTTTTTTTTTTTGGGAAGGTAAATATTTATTACTCCAAAAATATACAAGGTATATACAATGCACAATAAAACTCAAAACACGTTTAGAAAAAGTGAAAAACACACAGAGTAGCACACAAAAGGGTCTACTTCACACAAAACACCAACCTAATATCTATTAAAAATAAGAGAGACTAGTTCGCAACTTGTCTATTCGAGAGCACTCAATTGTTATCATTGCTGCCATTATTGAACGAAAAAGGGGGAGGGAGCCTAAGGGTTTGATGAATTATAAGATAGTGGTAATCAAAGTTTTGCTTGTGGCAGGAAATGAAGTCAGACTTGAAATATATTCTTTTTGTATTAGAAAAGAAGTCCATTACCTTAAACCATTGTAATTCACGCTGCATCTGTAGAGCTGCACCAGCTGCACTAGCTCTGATATTGAGTTTTGGCTGAGATTTCAGACATCCAGCCAAATGTAGGCCATTGTTCCTTGATAGATCTTGTGGCGATAAAAAAGCGTGGCCAAGTTCCCGAGATTGGTAAATGAGGTTGAAAACTTTTTCACGACGATTTGCAATTGCAACATGGAAAACTGCTTGGTTTAGCTCATTTCTAATATAAACCGCACTGGGAAATGCATCAAAAATCTCTTCCACAACTTCAGGAACCCCCTTAACTGCCGCAATATTTAGCGGCGCTTGAAGCGTTGATGCAGCTTTCTCATGATCCAACTTTACAATTTCATTGCAAAGGTGTTTCACAAGCTGAACTGATTGATAATGCATAATTTTTGGTCTCCGATGTGCTTGATCTGGATCACTACAATCAAATGAACTCAAATAATTCAATAGCAACAAATTTTGGTTCTAGATGCTCATGAAGTGGCCCTTAACCCATTACATACCTACTTTTTCAGCAATTTTCCAAAAAATTGCTTGCAACTTTTGCTTCACTGCACAAGATTAAGTCAATCAAAATCAAATAAGGAACGTCAAAAAGAAGGAATTAATTCGTACTTACTAAGTCCGAGAGAATATAGGTCCTTGAATTCAGTGAGATATCGATGAGGCTTTCCCAAGGACAAGATGGCATGTCTGATCTCCAAATCCAGCTCAATTAATGGGACTAGGGGACACAGCTAAGGTCCATCCATGTTCCTAGACCCACTAAAAGGGGATAGTTCCTTTAGGGAATGGCAAGGGGCGGCATTGGTAAGATAAGGTTTGGTATTTCCACTTTTTTTTTTTTTTTGGAGGGTTTGGAACCTTTAATCAACATAGGGGTCGAAACACTTGTCATACCCTTTTTTTAGAGCTTATAAGGGAAAAAGAGATTTTGCATCTTGAGCCGCTTCCCATAATTACTTGCATGAGTTGACTATCACCTGGCCTGACCTCACACGGGAGGCGCCTCATCAAGTGGTTCTCCACGCAAAAAACTCTACATGTGATATTTCGAAAACATATAGACATGGTAAAATATTTGGAAACTGGATTATGAGAGTACAACTTCCCTAACTTGTATGCCAATATGTATTAAGGCCACCACAACCAAAGTTGAACCGTGTTTTATAAACCCATACCCTCTAATCTGAGGATTGTTCTATCCTAGTTCCTTCTATATATTGGTAGCTTTTAGAATTGAGATTGTCTCTATGTACTTGGTGACACAGATTGCACATTTCAAAATTTCTGGTATTTGTCTCGTTACTCAAACGCATGCAAGCGCAACGTCTTTCACTGATCATTTGCTGCATTCATGCAAAGCATATACTTGATGTGTATGGACTTTGTATCGACTGTATTTTACTATCCTTTTGCCTCCCAAGATAGGATCTCTGTAGTTTAAACTTTGCATTATCTTATTCTTATCATGTTGCAACCAATCCCAGAATTAAAACGATAGGAAGCTAATATAAAATTGTATATAAATAGACAATACATTGTTATCGGTGATGTTGATGGTTTTTATGCAACATTATTCGTAATTTGTTGTCCAACACGGAGCTATTTTTTTGTTGTTTTGTAGAAATGATTAAAGACAAATCCAAAAAATCATGCTAATTAAGTTGCCTTATAATCAAGATTTGAGTTCCAACTCCTTTCCTTCTCCAATGCATGTTATGGTTATGATTTTTTACCTTACAATTGTTTTTATTTTATTTTTCTAAAGTGTATATAGTTTTATGTGAATTTCTAAAAACAGTCGGACTTGGAGACCCACGAGCTCCCTCATGCCGTGGACGTATTTTGTGAAACCCATGTCAATAATAGGTCAGGTAAGTGGACCTCAGGAAAAGCAAAGTCTCGATATATAAGTATATCAATTGCATTTGTTTTAAGATTTATATTCTTTATTGTTGAATAAAGGAGCTGAAGGAACAAACCACATAGAAAGGTGTATCTCTGTTGTCTTAGAAGGAGATTAAATGCACTGTCCTTAGCACTAGCCTGGCTATAAAAGATGTTATGGCATTGGCCCGAAGCCATCTTGTTCGACAAAGGTTGGCAAGACTGTTGCACATGAGCAGGAGGTGAGAGGCTTTAAGGACATTATTGTGGCCCTTCAGGATGAAAATGTAACCTAAAAGTAAGAATTGGATGAGATTAAGACAAAACTTGAGTAGATGGTAAAATAATAAGAGATGATGATGCAAGAGGTGATAGAGGTGAAGTTGGCAATGCAACTTGGTGGGAGCAATGGAGAGACTAGTGATTCGACTTCTAAACATATGCTCAATTTTGGTAATTGACATATACTTAAGCACTTGGTCTTGAAATGATACCATATCATTCCAGATGCCACAACACCACTTTGAAAATCTTGCTCGGGCATAGAAAAACTTGTGAAAACAAACCGTGTGACAATATACCATCCAACTAGGTAGATAGAAGCAAACACGTGAATTTAGGCTTGCGAGATATTAGCAAATATACCTCAAAATATTTACAATTTATAAATTGCAGATGTATACTATTTATACTAGAACTAATGTTTTAGTTGTTCTAATGCACTTTTATTGTGTGTAATGCAGATTGACGATGAATTATTTGGAGTTGGTTTTGATGATACAATCTCTTTCTTTGTAATCTATGTAGTTCAAATTCTTGTGGATATTGGGGGCGTTTGAATATTTTTTTACTGTGGGTTTTTACATGGATGTTTTGGTATGAGAGTTTTACATGACATTTTATATGGATGTTTTGGTATGAGTTTGTGTATGGATCTTTTGGTGTAGATTTTCGTATGAATGCTTTGGAAATTAGGATTTTTTATTTTTTGGATTATATATTTTTTACTTTCAGTGACAAGATTTTTCGACTCCCAATTTTTTTTTCTTGTAGTGCACACTTGCATCAAAGCTTTGATTTAAAGCATATAATTAATGTGGGATCCAAAAAGAGATGTTTTCTTTGGAACTGAAATAGAAAGCAACACAAAAAAGAAATCATTACAAATGAACTTTTACAAACCCAAAATGAAGCCATCAATGGGATTCTCGACGTGCCCTGCATTATGTTGGTTTGCAATGTTTTCCAACTTCAGAGGAACACCTATAAGATAGAAGAAAATGTTAGTGTAATCATTCTTATATAGGATAATTATAGTTGGTAGATGAGGGTGTTATTTGATAAAATTGAAAATTGAATACTAAATTAAATGATGAATGTTGATTTTTTTTAGGGTCAATTGCATTGGAGGTCTCCCAAAGTGTGAGTTTGTCTCATTTTGATTCCTGAAGTATTGAATATATTTCTATGTAATCCCTCAAGTAGACAACGTTCACGTTGTTAACAATTTTTTACTATAAACTTGTCATGTGGTACCTAAATTTGGGTAATAAAAACAATTTAGATACTCTTGACCAAATTTCTTCGCAAAATTTGGTCAAACAACTACCCAAATTATATAGTTTTGATCATGAGATATCCAAATATTTTTTAAAAGCTACTCATATTACACATTTTGGTCAACAACGACCCAAATTTTGTTCAAGAACTACCCAAATTATTTATTGTTCATATTTAAGTATTACATGACAAGTTTATGATAAAAAAATTATTAGCAATTTATATATTGTCTACTTGAGAGACCACATAAAAACATATTCAATACTTCAAGGATTAAAATGATGTAATTGAAATATCAGAGACCAAAATAAGATAAATCTCATACTTTGGGGACCTCTAGTGAATCTAACCATTTTTTTTAATTTGTAAATTATTTGGTATCCATAGAAATTTAAGTATTGAATTGAATCAAACTATTTCATAAATATAAGAAGCTGAAGTTAGAAAATTATTTTACTCCTAATTTTACCCTTATTTTTAATCAATTTACTGCAACTACCTTACTCCTACCACCACCATCACAATGGCGGTGGCAAAATCATGGTGGTGGTGCAGTGATGACAACACAATGATGGTGGTGGTGGCGACGGTAGTGGTGTGTTGGTGGTAGTGGCACAATGGTGGTGATCGCAGTGGTGGTGGTTGATGGTGGATAGTAAAAAGTTAATAGTGTAAAGTACATTGAAAGTATATTTGTCAATTATAAAAAATTTATAAAATTTTTACTAACTAATATTTTTAGCATTAAGTGAAAAGTATTTACTTAAAATTTTTGCTTATTTTTAGAAAATGGTTAAACTATTAACTAGTATAAATTTTAAGTTACCAAATAGGTCAAATTCATTAAGCGCTTAATGCATTCAATTTTAAACATTAAGTGGTGTTATTAAACTGCCCCAAGTCAACCAATAATTATTGATCATATATGACTATAAACAAAGTATTAAGATGTACCAAACAAAAAAAATCTTAATAGAGTAAAAATTTGAATGCAGTTCTGCTAGTCTTTTTACCATTATAGGTTAAAAAAATAAAATTAAAGCCAGATAGAAGAAAAAGAGTGACACATGATCTTTCTAACTTCGCCACATTATGATTGCGATCTTGGCTAGTATAATCAAAACCCAAAATGCAACTGCTCCTAATTTTAGAATGTATACAACGGGACGTAGCTCAGATTGATGGATTCAAATTTTCCACTGAACTTGGTTCAATTCTTTGCTATTTATATAAGATCGTTCCTAATACAAAATCATTTATAGATAGTGAAGAAGAGAGCATTGTTGTAGAGTTTTGTACTGTCTGTATTTCACATTCGTGCATTGCTTTTGCATAATCAAAAAGTTTCTCAGGAAGTAGGTTTGAATTTTCCGAAAAGCTTTGAGGAAATGAATCTGATATTTAGGGTAAAGGTTTACATGATCGACTTGATATTATGTAAGTCGGCAATTGATTCATCAATATAGGTCCTCTATTTGTGAGTTTTATTGATAACACATGGTTCTCCCCTTAATGCAATGGGTTTTCTTTAATTCTTTCGTTGTGCTTACAGTGTAATTTTCGTAACATTCACTCTTTCAACCCTCCCTCCCAAACAGTCCTCGAACCCCTATCCTGAGGGTTAGGGAAGTATACCAAACACCACCAAATCACGATATTTAGGAGAAAAGTTTTCTGTGCTCACAATGACAGAAATGCAGCTAAGTTTTAAAGCTTTGCCAGTGGTTGCACGTGAGAACCTTACAGTTCAATAATCTTGGCATATCACACCATATAGTTTTCTTTCCTTCCTTTGTTTTTATTCTTTCTTTTAAGCACATTTAAGAGGGAATTACGTCCTTAAAACATCATCTGGGAGAGGCATGCATAAAGCACAACGAATTGGGGAAGGGAAAATACATTTGCAAGTGCAACACATCTTGAGTACCATGATTGGTCCATAGCTTGAGTAC